TATATAGGTTTCCGTATTAATATTTCAGTTTTAATTTTGTTGTGTACGTGTCAGTTTTTCATTCAGTACTGATTGAATTTGGTATTGTTTCGTAGCTAATGTACCTTTCAACCTATTCTTTCTTAATGACACACGTTTCTGTTTGCGAATTTTGTAGCACTTGATGAAACTCTTGAAATATAATCGCCTTTGTAGTAAACTAATCATCTGTATCTACAGGACACTAACAAGTATAGTTTGATCTCTGAAAACTCTATCTACTTCTACGAGAAAACACATCTTTCAAAATCTAAGAATTGTTTGTAAAGGTACACACTGGTGAAATTATTGATCTCGTCTCTAAAGTACCTGAAACCCCCCAACCAGTGCAATACCAGCATTCTTATACATCCCGTGGACCCAGTTATATCTCCAATCGGAAACCTCTCTCCCCCGATTACAGGACCAAGATATCTGGGAAACGCTCAACACTGGCAAAGGTCAACTGCACGTGAAGTACCGTTTCATCCCGGAAGACTTTGAGGGCAATTCTCTGGACCCCACTGCCGAGGCTGTGTTGGCAGCCATCAAGAAAGGTGTAGAAGGACAAGAGGGAGGCGATGACGAGGAGTTGGAATTGGGCGGAGCTGGGCTGCTGAGTGGCACCGCACAGACACGTATAGTCGACGGTCGCCCGGTTAATGTCGCACGCCCACACGCACCCTTGTTTGCGGATAAGAAGGACATTGTGCTGAACCCGGCGGTTCTCGGTATCAGGCGGCTGTTGAAACCGGCTATATTCAATATGATATCGCTCTTCTTCTCGTACTGGCTGGGCAAACACGGGTACGGGGCAGTATACGGTTTTTTTATGGTGGTGATGGCCTTCTCGCTGGAAGAGATCTGGTCCGTGCGCGCGGTCAAGATGGTCGCCAAGGACTTTGAGAAGGACTTTGACGAGGAGCACTACCCCGATGACGAGACCGCGGAGTGGCTAAACGCCATTTTGGACCGTGTGTGGCACAACTTCCCTCGCGTAGCTGAGAAGATGGTGTCGGATATCATAGCCCCGCAGCTCGACGCCAACAAGGAGATGCTGGCGTTGAGCAAGCTGGAACTCGAGGACTTCGACTTTGGCACCCGCGCACCGAACCTGACGGACTTGCGCGTGGTGCATGACGAGCCCAACGAGTTTATCTTCGACTTTGACTTCGATTGGGACTGGGACTTTGAGGTGAAGATTCGGGCCACCAAGGGTGTCACCATGCCGCTGGCCGTCAAAGACTTCATGCTGCACTCGAAGTTCCGAGTGTTTATCCATTTGACACCCGACCGCGCGCCCTACTGCTCGTTTGCCTGGGTGCAGATGATCCAGAAACCCAAACTGGATGTGTCTGTAGTACCGCTGGTGGAGATCACGGCCATTCCTGGCCTGGACGCGCTGATCAAGAGCACCATCCTGGGCATCATCACTAACCTTATGGTACTGCCCAACCGCTTGGAGCTCGATCTGGCAGAGATCATGCAGGTGGAGGTGCCTTTGGAGGACATGTTGAACCCAGAGGCCCATCGTGCGAAGCTGGAGTCGGAGATGGAGTTTTCCAAGACCGGCAAGTCCGTGGCTGTGAAATCACCGAAGCCGAAGAATAAGAAGTAAACGTGAATGTAGTGGATTGTCATGAGCATGGGCGCCGCAAAACACATGGGCCTTTGCCAAGCTGCGTAGGAGTGTTTAAGCAATGCGCAGTGTCTGTCATTTGCATACCACTGGGACGCTTGTATATCTTAGACTGGATCTAGGAATGCTTTGTGATCCATCAATTTCGTCTACCTGTTGAGTCGCAGACGTTGATGCGGTTCCGCATTGGTTGTACCATATTGCTTTAAATAAACTGTTGACCTTGCTTTTGAGAACCTTATTCATTAATACCTAAAATTCAAACTGGAATGGCTCGTTTCCGTAATCTGCCTCTCTGAAAGCTCATTTCGGTACAGAAGTATCTCCAATATATTTCGCAGCGGAAACCAATTATTTTTTGAATGTTCGGAACGTAACCAATATGATGGTATAGCTCGGGTTGCATGTGTGATATGTACGTGAACATAATATATCTCTACACGGATGGATATCCATCTAGAACATATAAGCTATTTCTGCATGCTTGTTGTCAAAATGAAAACACACTCCTCCGCGGAGTGGATGGCTAATCAACTGCAATACACATACTTTAATTAGGTTCGTATCTGTAAGTCATTGGACGCTAGTTAACGATCCGCCATATTTTTCAAGTTCTATTTCTAGTCTTCTTCTAGAGGGTCATGGTAAGTCAAAATCGAAGGTTGGGAGACGGTTCCATCAAGTTTATTTTTATTGCAAGTAATCAGGGTACATATTCGCTGGCGTCGGCTACCAAGCTTAGTGCTCGGCCTTAACCCTATACAGCCGAGAATCAAACGGTCTAATGCATATGTATGATATTGAGCGGGTCGAAGTTCCGCAAACGTGACACTAAGGTTTCACAATACACACCAACAATGTTTAAGGAGATACGGACGTGTAGCAATTAACTGCATCATATCAGAATTCCCAGCACACAGTGCTGATCCGGATTTATTTCGTCACATATCATGAATATGTTGGGGGTTTGTTATTGGGCTTCAGCTTTCACGCGTTTGTCGTCACCACCACCACTATTTTCGTCGTCCTGATATTGGTATGGAAGAGCAAACAGATTAGTCATAGATGCAACTTAACCAAATAGAACGGCATGCATCGAGAGAACAAACACTTGGAGCGCCGATAGTATGGTAGCATGAAATAATACGAGACTGAGCTTAACAAGGACCGCGAGCGAGCAATAATAAACTAGCACTCTGCATCATCTCCCTAACAATAGTTGAACACCGCACACACAAAGGCCAGGGTGCACCGGCCCACTTATAGTACGATCAAGGACTAAAGACTTCTATACACCTTACCTCGCGACTACGTTTATTACTTTCCGCATCCCTTAATTCCTCGGTCTTGTACACCGAAAGCCGCCGCGGCGACGCAGGAGCAGATATTACCGCCGTAGACTAGATAAACAGAGGTGAGAAAAAGGTGAGGACGCACAGATGGACAACACTCTCGTTAGCAAAATTTGATGCCTCGCATGAAGAAAGCAGCACAAACCGCAGCATCACCATTAAAACGTTGAGAGATGCTGTTGTATTGACGAGTGGCCCGACACTCGCAGGGGCCAACTGATACGCATGTGTGAATTTTCCTTTTCGCCAACTATTAGCCCTCGCGGGCTAAAGAATATAGGAGGGAACGCACCAGGTACAACAGTACCATAAGAACGGCGACTGCGACGCGAAACATAATACAAAATAGGTCTGGACAGTTAGTTGAACAACCCACCTCTCCGCGCTCAGAGTAACAGCTCTTGTGATACGTCGCGTCGTCCTCTCTTATCGCACCGCGGTAGTGCCACGAATCGTCGTCATCGTTCCAGAACTTCTCAAAACTTCCCCCACATATGTTACATACGGATTCCTTTGCCGTGTCGTTTGGCTGCGAATAAAATCATATGAGTAAATGTGAGACATAAAATTGTACATGTTATTATCCGCTTTTCGTGCCCCACTATTGTGCAGGGTATCTGTGCGGTTTGTACTCTATGTCACACAAACAAGTAAAAACGATAGATTCGAACATTCTGTTGACACAAGACATCAGAAGCTTTCGCGAGCTCATATATAAACTAACGCCACTGCATATATGCTGCAGGTGAAGGGCGTTAGTATCAATCGAAGGCTTCAACAGGCTACGAACGTAAACCTCACCCCGGCACGAATGGAGACTTCGACCACAACTTCCTCTTTCTCTTCTTCTATACTCTGGTCAAAGAACGTGGCTGGTTCCTCATCGCCATCGCCGACTTCTTCGTACTCCATCCAATCCTGACTCGAATAAAGAGGAGCAGACTGAGTATTCTTGAAATTCTTAATGTACACTCACACACAATATAAAACCCATAAACGCGATAGAGCTATCAATGCCTGCCTTCTGAACGGTTTGTGACCGTAGGGATATGTACAAGCGTCTTCAATATAAAGGTGTAAGTTTGAAAATACGGACAATTGCCACTCAGTACAACACCTAGCACTCCATACCTTCTCCGCGGGGTACCAGCGTCTAGCTGTAGGCTTCTTATTCTGTTCTTTCTCGCGTTTATTCATGCGGAAATGCCAGTCTAAATGCAAGCCCATCTCGGCGTTGTGATCTGGTTTGAACCGGAGACCACACTGGGCGCACTGTAAGGGAAGTGTCTCGTACAGCGACGAGATGATCGCCTGGTGTCGTCTGTGGCAAAAAAAATAGAACAAAAAACATGTTACTTGGCATCGGTCAACGGGCAAATTCTGCTACAAAGACTAAAGCCTGTGGAAGAAACAATGGGCGGTCTTGCTAAGAAATAAGTCGCACAAACAATGACGATATAACATAGACTCCCGGGTTGTATCTATATAGACGAACATGTACTGAATGATCCAGAGGAGAAACTGGACAAAGCCATTGCCTGTATTTAGCTACATCCATGGCGTTACAGATACAGGTCACACGGTACTCGAACAGTCCACCCTCCCGAACATATATTGTCCCTGATCTACACGACGCGCATTGTCAAGGCAATGCTGGACAACACGTGGTTAAATCATAATGCTTCTTCCCCCAGACTTACTCATTGAGACTCTTAGTATTGAACTCGATCGTCGGCAGTGGCGCACTGGTTGATACTCGCCCTCCTTGTGGGGGAGGGCCCGATGGAGCTACTGTACTGCTGGTCAAAACCGGACTACGTAGAGAAAGATGGAGAAGACGACAAATTGTTTGAGCACTACGGTAGTGCTAGAGGAGAACAAGGGATGCGACGAAGGTATATATATATACGCTACGATCATGGAGTGTCGGTACAGCACAAGGCAGCATGCATGCTATTTTCGTATAGTCTGTTAAATTGGCCATTAGATTGAATCGGTGTATAAATTGGCAAAATATCCAATAAACGATGTCGCTGATCCGTAAAGGTAAAAATATGCTCTTTGAGATCTAGCACAGCAGGATACAATCCGTGACAAACACTATCATACAAGTAATACAAACACATTTGATACTAACAGATAGTCTGTCTAATTCTTAACACACCTTTTCGACACCGGGCTGCGGACTTGGGGAGATTGGATCATTCCGAACTCCAACAACTTGCTGAACAAGGCACTCGCAGGGTTGGCGCTGCCACTTTCAGCACTTGCATTCGTACTCGAGCCTGCATTCGCATTCGCATTTTCGCTCATATTCTGCTGCTGAAGCATTTGCACTACCGGTTGTGGTACAGTCAGGCCCGGGACATTGCCGACCCCATTGTAGTGTGGTCCATTTGACGAGAACTGTCTGTGCGGGGGTTGTGCCGTAGTCGCAAGCATGGGCGGCCCTCCACGTGGTGCGTGTTGCTGCAGTTGTTGTGGCGCCTGTATCCGTGGCTGCTGTGGCTGTGATGGGGGAGGGTTCTGGTACACGTTGGGATTGCCAGATAACTGTCTATTCATTGGTGCAGCTCCGTTAAAGTTGGGACCGCCCGGCAATCCGCCTGGAGGCCTGGGACGGGGCCCAGGTCCGCCCCGGGGAGGGAGTGCGCGAGGGTCAATGTTCATAGGGATCGCGTGCTGTGGTCGGTTACCCTGCACTTGTGGTGGGATATTTAGACCGCCCTGTCCTGGTGGTAATGAATTGGGCCCGGCTTGTCCTGGGGGAAGATTGGGACTGGGGGATGGATACCTCTGCCTCGGATCACGTGGGTCGCGTGGAGGCCCGGCCAAGTGCTGGGGTTGGTGCAGATTGGGTGAGGCAGGAGGCAGCAGTGACGTGGGCGGCCGCAGATCACCGCCTGCGATACCGTAGTGTCTATTTTGTTGCATCTGTAGAAGGAGAAACCGAGTGGTAAGCGAGAAGTAATAAAGCTAGGATTCCATATTATATCGGACAAGATCGTGCAGCAACAACAGTATGTACATATCTCCGTGTGGTACGGCGCAAACCAGCAGAACAGCCTATGTTGCTACTGGAATCCTAGATATTGAGATCGCACTTAACCACGTTTTAGTAATTTGTTTGTAAATTTCTATGAGCGGTGCAATAAACTCGATATACGCCATTGTGAAACTTGCTTACCTGCCGCGAGTAAACGCAGCACATACGGTTACACAACACATACTCTGATGCAACCCGAATGAACATGGCAATCCTTGCTTACCTGCAACTTGTATAACTCAGCCAGTTTCTCATACAGTATGACATGGGTCTCTCGAGTGAGTCTGCCCGATCGTTTAAGTTCTTCTATAGTGGTTATGATGGTCTCCTGCTGCGCCTGTAACTCTCTCTGGGCGGTTCTCTGGGCCGTCGTGAGCATCGGGCCCTGTGGTTGTTGTTGCTGCTGGGATAGTTGCAGCGGTGGTTGCTGGTTAGTCGATGATGAACCTCGCCTGTAGTCATCGCCACTACCCCACCCACTACTGGGTCTCCCTTGCGGTCCATCTCTGCCCTGGTGCGACTCTCTGTCTCTACTCAAAGGCCCGTCTCTGCTGCCCCTACCCTGTGAGCTGGTAGACCGTCTATCGTTGTCTGTGTAGTCACGTGATGATGCACGATCGCGCGAAGATTGGTGGTCTCCGGTGGCACCCCTGGCTCTGTCACGCGGATCAAATGTTGTGGAAGATCGAGCGCTGCTGTCGCGGGGGTCATTTCGAGGGTCATTTACCAGGCCTCGGGGGTCATTTCGGGGGTCATTTACCGGGCCTCGAGAACTGCGTTCGCTTTGATCGTAGGCGTCTCGGCTGGCAATACTTTTGCGGTGCTACGGAAGTAGTATATTGTAAAAAAGCGTGAGTTGATACTGCGCAACGTGGGGTAGCACTACGCCGATTCTGGATAAGCACAAACGAAGCGAGAGAACAAATCCCGTAACAGTGCAATGCCTTTAATATCATGATGCAATTAAACTTGTTCAGACTACTGCACCTGTGAACACAGATCACCAACGACTGTAATAACCTATAGAGCGTCTCAGTATCTTGCCTATGGACAATCTCAAAATGATTATAGATCATATCATCTTACCTCGAATTTGGGATTGATATGCACGTTGTGACTATTCCTTCTTTCGATGCCGTTCCGCCTGTCCAGAGCACGGGCAAGGTCGTCCAGTATGTCTCTGCCAAACACATCACCCCATGTTGCACGCACGCTGCAGTATGAAAAGAATATTGCTTATTGAGAGCATTGCCAACACGCTGAACGAGCCCAAAGGTAACTTTATAAAAACATGTATGCATACATACATATATGCAAGTATAAAAATATAAGTACATACATACATGCAAACATACATACGTGCATAAACACACTTATATTTCTATTCATATATATATATATATATATATATATATATATGTGTGTGTGGATGTGGGTGGGTGGGCGTGTTAATGTGCGTGTGTGTGTGTTCGTGTGTGTGTGTCCGTGTGTGTGTCCGTGTGTGCGTGTGAGTCCGTGTGTGCGCGTGTGTTCTCGGCACAGTAGGAAACTATCTCAAAGGATTGTACATGTCTTTTGGAAATAGGTATCGCCACTACTACACAAGCTTCACGAACAGTTTCACGAGGTCCAACAAACAGAAATGAAGCACAAGTGGTCTGCGATTATCTATTACCGTTCAAAGTTGCGCTGTTCCCTCTCTTCCAGCTGGAAGTAGCTGTCGGTGAATATGTATACAATATCACGGGAGAACAGATGGATGTAGGGACCCTGCACATTCTTCAAGATCGAGTCGATCAGGTACATTAAAGGAAGTTTAAACTTGGGTGACGCCTGCATAATGAAGTAAGAGTAGAAGCATGTGCATGCAGAATGGCATGGGTGAACATCAAGGAAATAGTTTGAAGTAGATGGTAATTCAGTGAAATTTAGTCTAGTTTTCCACGGCACAATGTTTACTGGTGTCGCCCACGTGATCTTTCAAACCTATCACGTTTAGTGCTTTCGAAAGAGGTGTACTGTTCTCCTAACCTGGTGTCAAATCGTACTCAATAATGTCTCCAAGTCTGTAAATAGTTCTTCCAACCAGGATATACATCCAACACCACATAGGCACCTATAATAACACTTAGTGCTTTTATTGTGCGGCATGTTCTCCCAGACAGAGACCAAACCATCACTTGACGCATTTGAAATATGTGACCAAATCATCACGACGCACTTGAATTACGTGACCAAATCATCACTTGACGCTTTTGATTTACGTGACATCCCCAAGTCTAAGAATACAGCTCTTGCGTGAAGAGCCAACGTCATGCACTCCAAAGGCATCCGATTTGGCACTTGCTGCGAATGGACTGCAATCTGTGCGCTTACAGCGTCGCTTATGCCTAGGTCACCAAAAGTCAGCAAGGAAGTCTCAGTTTCATCTGGATGTTCTCCTTTCCGCACGCAATCATCATCGTCAGATAAGTAGGCGTATACTTCTTATCATGCGCATAGGGGATTTGACACAAAACAGTGCTAAACATGTATCTAATTATCTAATGAAGCGCAAATACGTTATCTATCTCAATGTACCCCTTAGCCTAGGTATCATATCCCATTAATCCTAGGCAGCTGCGTGTCGCTTTGCGTTCGTAGGAGCTAATACTACACTAGGAGACTAATACATCTAAATACGTCTGATCTAACTACGTGTTTTAAATCTTCATTTAGAACATGAATAATATAGTACTTCGAATAAGTGGTATAGTGACATTAGAAAAATTGGGCACAAACATTACTTTGAATATTGCGTCTTTTATCGCCTCCACCAACGCCTGTGCATACTGCCGGTTGTCGTCGGCCGCAAGGGTTAACTGGTCTATAATAGGCTTAGAGTTGACTCGCAAGTTAGCTAGATCACGCTCGTATTGCCTGATAAACAAGTTCAATGCTCGATCCCCCATTGCACTTAAAAGTAGAACTTTTTATCTGTCGCGCCTGTGCGTAAGTGAACTAAACACTTCTCTACGCCTACAACACTGTATGTAGCGCTGCAAGGACACACAGAAGTCGATGTCTTCACACAGACCGAACACTACTATCCGTGATCCTTAGTTCTTCTTGGGTCTAATACTAACTCTGTACTACTACTTACACACTATAACTGCTCCTCTTATAAAAATATTGTATGCAGACTTGCAGAGCTATATCGCACACACGTTCGCACAGCCATCTTTGTTGGGCACACGTAAGTTCACGTAAATATATTTTTACCCTACTGAAAAACGCCGACTCTATATTTAGAATCGAGTTTTAGGTCCCCTTTTTAAAAACCCTGACTTTTGTTCTAATATTAGATTTTAAAACTGAGCCTCCGAAGTTCGATAAGTTATATCAGATCCGCTTGATCCTGATTTTGTTCTAAATTTGGATTTATAAAATTTAACTTCCGAAGTTCGAACTATTTATGTACTGTTGTATTATTGAAGGCTATAATGTGGAGTTTTGGCTTTTTGTACCTTTGGAGATTTCAGAAAAGAAGTGATGAACCAGAAATTGAGTCATCAATTTTCACGCGATCTGAAGACTCAGCGTCTGTGTCTGTGAGCTGGCTTCCTGTGTCGACTGAGCTACTATTATGACATGACAGAGGTCATAAATACTTATGGACCATTTATTTCTACTGCGATGGTAAAAGTAACTTATCAGAGACATATAGATGCAGGACATAAGAGGACGATAAGACCAGTTAGCACACCAATAGTCTTATCCAAGTCACCAACGAAAGAATCCTGAGGTTGTTTCTGATTGCTCTGCGTGATGCTAGGACAGTTTCTTCTGGTGCTTTTGTTAGTTAGGTGTGCTCTGGGTACCTGGACGCAGCCTGACAACTGGGTAAGTGGTA